TGAAGAATAGAAAAATTAAAACACATAAAGACTCAAATGAACTAGTGGCATAAATATAAAGTTACGATATAAATGATGATAATTTATTGATGTTTGAGCAGATGTGCCTTTAATTTCTTTTTGAATGCAAATTTTGTATTTTTAATTTCAATTGGAAGGCTTTCCCAGAGGCCAATGGCTGCAAAAGAGATTGATTGTTGTCCTAGMTTTGTACGCGTACGAGACTTGTGCATGTTAAGTTTACTAGCATATCGTGTGTTGTAGCCATGAACATTTTTTGCGTATTGGAACATGCTGTTAAAAACTACAGGCAGTTCATTATTATGCCATTGATACATAAATGTTAACATATGAAAATGGTAAGTATTTTGTACTGTCTATATGTCAAGTAAATTTAGCAATTGTTTAGCACTGTCTGTATCTTTTCCATATATTGTAGCGAAAAATATCATACGAATAATATGGTTTTGCTTGACTTGTACTTTTTTCATATTTGTTTTATTTGTGCTGCCCCACGCTGTAATGGCATATGAAATATATGGATAAATTAAATTATAATAAATTTGTTTCAGTTGTTTTATTGAGAGCAGATATCTCAGTTTTGATAAGATGCCAGTATTGCGTGCTATTCTAGAACAAACGTATGCTATTTGTTGCTTCCATGACATGGTGTCATCAAGCATTACTCCTAGATATTTTATGAAATGTTTACGCTCTAGTATGTTAGAATTACCAWGTGCATCGCTGAATTTAATATTGATGGTTACATCTTTTTTCTTTGCAGATTTTATAATCATGAAATTTGTTTTACACATATTAATGGATAGCTTGTCGGTGTTGCACCACTCTTTCACTTTAGCCAATTCGTAATTCATTGTACTTTCGAGTGTCTTTAAGTCTTTTGCCGAGGCAAATAAGTTAGTATCATCAGCAAAGATTTTGAATTTTAATTTGTCGGAGCAATTAGGAAGGTCGTTTATGTATATCAAAAACAATAGTGGGCCTAGACCACTTCCCTGAGGAATTCCACATTTTACTTTTTGAGGATGTGATTCATAATCTACGTAGTCCGATAGTCTACCGAGTGCGGTACAGTATCATAGTSTACCTAGTGCGATAGTGTACCGT